CACCCGGGTCCAAAACATTGGGAACACCGATTCAGCCTCTGGTGAGAAACCTGTGTGTGGTGAGTGTGAGTGTGTTTACTAATGTGTTACTGTGTGTTCTCCAGGTGTACTGGTGTATATAGGGACAGGTCTGGGGATGGTGGTGTGTGTGTTGGTCCTCATTCTCATCATATTAATCAGACAAAGGACCAGAACAAAGATAGCTACTGGTGAGACACACACATGTTGTTTTACTATCCTTGTGGGGACCAAACAATTGATTCCCCTTTAACCCTAATCTGATGTTCTCTGGTGTTGGTCTGGGTGTTCTAGGTGATGTGATGTTCTCTGGTGTTGGTCTTGGTATTGTTCTACTACTGCTGGGTCTGCTGCTGTTCATGATCTTTAGACAGAGGAGAGACAGAGGCAGGAAACCAACAGGTACGGTAGTTATCACACACAATCGTTATTTAAAAAACACAAAAAAACGTCAAAAAATAAATATACATGAAAACAGTTAATTAAAATAACATAAATCTTCAAAGATAAATTATAAAGAAATAATCTATGTTTGTTTTCCTCTTCAGCATCCAAACACTCCAACCAGGATCAAGACACAGGAACCATCGCTAATGCCATCTACTTCACAGCAACCAATCAGAACCCAGATTCAGCCTTAGATATCACCACCATCTACACCATGGCAACCAATAAGAATGCAGATACAGCCTGTGACTTCACCACCATCAACGCCACGGCAACCAATCCTTGTGCAGATGACATCTACTCCAATGTTGGTCTGTCTACAAAGGTTCCATACAGTGTGACCTATGCTACTGTCAACTTCCCCAGAGATCCAGCCTGTCTCCATTATGCTACTGTCAACGTCCCCAGAGATCCAGCCTGTCTCCACTATGCTACTGTCAACGTCCCCAGAGATCCAGCCTGTCTCCACTATGCTACTGTCAACTTCCCCAGAGATCCAGCCTGTCTCCACTATGCTACTGTCAACTTCCCCAGAGATCCAGCCTGTCTCCACTATGCTACTGTCTCCTTCAGTACAGACTCTGATGCTAGTAACCACCCAGACACTCACCCTACAGATGTAGACACCTCATAGATGTACTGCACTATTAAACACTCTGCTACATAGTCTTTTATTTATTTATTTTTTATTTCACCTTTATTTAACCAGGTAAACCAGTTGAGAACAAGTTCTCATTTACAACTGCGACCTGGCCAAGATAAAGCAAAGCAGTGCGATAAAAACAACAACACAGAGTTACATATGGGGTAAAACAAAACAAAGTCAAAAAATACAACAGAAATACATATATATACAGTGTGTGCAAATTTAGCAAGTTATGGAGGTAAGGCAATAAAATAGGCTATAGTGCAAAATAATTACAATTAGTATTAACACTGGAATGATAGATGTGCAAGAGATGATGTGCAAATAGAGATACTGGGGTACAAATGAGCAAAATAAATAACAATATAGGGATGAGGTAGTTGGGCGGGCTAATTTCAGATGGGCTGTGTACAGGTGCAGTGATCGGTAAGGTGCTCTGACAACTGATGCTTAAAGTTAGTGAGGGAGATAAGTGTCTCCAGCTTCAGAGATTTTTGCAATTTGTTCCAGTCATTGGCAGCAGAGAACTGGAAGGAATTGCGGCCAAAGGAGGTGTTGGCTTTGGGGATGACCAGTGAGATATACCCGCTGGAGCGCAGACTACGGGTGGGTGTTGCTATGGTGACCAATGAGCTAAGATAAGGCGGGGATTTGCCTAGCAGTGATTTATAGATGGCCTGGAGCCAGTGGGTTTGGCGACGAATATGTAGTGAGGACCAGCCAACAAGAGCGTACAGGTCACAGTGGTGGGTATTATATGTGGCTTTGGAGACAAAACGGATGGCACTGTGATAGACTACATCCAATTTGCTGAGTAGAGTGTTGGAGGCTATTTTGTAAATGACATCGCCGAAGTCAAGGATCGGTAGGATAGTCAGTTTTACGAGGGCATGTTTGGCAGCATGAGTGAAGGAGGCTTTGTTGCGAAATAGGAAACCGATTCTAGATTTAACTTTGGATTGGAGATTCTTAATGTGAGTCTGGAAGGAGAGTTTACAGTCTAACCAGACACCTAGATATTTGTAGTTGTCCACATACTCTAGGTCAGACCCGTCGAGCGTAGTGATTCTAGTCGGGTGGGCGGGTGCAAGCAGCGTTCGGTTGAAAAGCATGCATTTAGTTTTACTAGTGTTTAAGAGCAGTTGGAGGCTACTGAAGGAGTGTTGTATGGAATTGAAGCTCGTTTGGAGGTTTGTTAACACAGTGTCCAATGAAGGGCCAGATGTGTACAAAATGGTGTCGTCTGCGTAGAGGTGGATCTGAGAGTCACCAGCAGCAAGAGCGACGTCATTGATATACACAGAGAAAAGAGTCGGCCCAAGAATTGAACCCTGTGGCACCCCCATAGAGACTGCCATAGGTCCAGACAACAGGCCCTCCGATTTGACACATTGAACTCTATCTGAGAAGTAGTTGGTGAACCAGGCGAGGCAGTCATTTGAGAAACCAAGGCTATTTGTGACACTCTGGCTCCGGGACTTTTGTATTTGAGCCAGGGTGTATTTTGTTATGTTGGGTTTTGGGTATATTTCTAGGTTGCCTTTCTGTTGCCTTCATTTCTAGGTTTGATCTATGACTCCCAATCGGAGGTAACGAGTGTCAGCTGTCGGCTCGTTATCTCTGATTGGGAGCCATATTTATTCTGAATGTTTTCCTGTGGGAATTGTGGGTTTTTGTTCTTAGTTCTGTCAGTGTTGCAGAGGACTTCACGTATCGGTCTTGTTTTGTTGTTTTGTTCCAGACTTTGAATTAATAAAGTCATGTTTCTTGGACACGCTGCGCCTTGGTCATACTTGGACGACATAGACCCTCGTGACAGAAAAACCCACCTTAAAAGGACCAAGCAGCGTGTCAAGCGGCAACAGGATTTATGGACGCCTATCAAGGATTCATGGACTTGGGAGGAGATACTGGATGGAAAGGGTCCTTGGGCACAACCGGGAGAATATCGCCGCCCTCGTGAAGAGCTGGAGGCAGCTAAAGCCGAGAGGAGGCGGTATGAGGAGGCAGCACGGAGTCAAGGCTGGAAGCCCGTGGGTACTACCCAAAAATTTCTTGGGGGGGGGCTAAAAGGGAGTGTGGCGAAGTCAGGTAGGAGACCTGCGCCTACTCCCTGGACTTACCGTGGAGAGCGAGAGTACGGGCAGACACCGTGTTACGCAGAAGAGCGCATGGTGTCTCCTGTACGCAGGCATAGCCCGGTTCGGTACATCCCAGCTCCACGTATCGGCCGGGTTAGAGTGAGCGTTGAGCCAGATGTCATGAAGCCGGCCCAACGCATCCAGCTACCAGTGCGTCGTCTCGGGCCGGCGTACATGGCACCAGCCTTACGCATGGTGTTCCCAGTTCGCCCACATAGGCCGGTGCGGGTTATTCCACCTCCCCGTACTGGTCGGGCGACGGGGAGCATCAACCCGGGTAAGGTTGGGCAGGCTCAGTGCTCAAGGGGGCCAGTAAGCCTGCACGGTCCGTATTTCCGGCGCCACCTCCCCGCTCCAGCCCAGTACCACCAGTGCCTACACCACGCACCAAGCCTCCTGTGTGTTCCCCGAGTCCTGTGCGTCCTGTTGCTGCTCTCCGCACTAGGCCTTATGTGCGTCCTGTTGCTGCTCTCCGCACTAGGCCTTATGTGAGTCCCCAGGGTCCAGCATGCCCTGTTCCGGCTCTCCGCACTAGGGCCTTATGTGCGTCCCCAGGGTCCAGCATGCCCTGTTTCCTTCTCCCCCGCACTAGGCGTTATGTGAGTCCCCAGGGTCCAGCATGCCCTGTTCCGGCTCTCCGCACTAGGCGTTATGTGAGTCCCCAGGGTCCAGCATGCCCTGTTCCGGCTCTCCGCACTAGGCCTTATGTGCGTCCCCAGGGTCCAGCATGCCCTGTTCCTTCTCCCCGCACTAGGCGTTATGTGCGTTCCCAGGGTCCAGCATGCCCTGTTGCTTCTCCCCGCACTAGCCCTGAGATGCGCGTCCTCAGCCCGGTACCTCCAGTTCCGGCACCACGCATCAGGCCTACGGTGCGCCTCAGACGGCCAGAGTCTGCCGTCTGCCCAACGGGGCCTGAACTGCCCGTCTGCCCTAAGGCGTTTGAACTGGCCGTCTGGACTGAGCCTGCAAAGCCGCCCGTCTGCCATGAGCCGTCAGAGCCGTCCGCCAGACCGGAGCCGCTAGAGCCTTCCGCCAGACAGGATCAGCCAGAGCCTTCCGCCAGACAGGATCAGCCAGAGCCTTCCGCCAGCCATGAGCAGCCAGATCCGTCAGCCGGCCATGAGCAGCCAGATCCGTCAGCCAGCCATGAGCAGCCAGATCCTTCAGCCAGCCATGAGCAGCCCAGATCCGTCGGCCAGCCACGAGCAGCCAGATCCGTCGGCCAGCCATGAGCAGCCAGATCCGTCAGCCAGCCATGAGCAGCCAGATCCGTCAGTCAGCCATGAGCAGCCAGATCCTTCAGCCGGCCATGAGCCGTCCAGCCAGGATCCGCCAGAGCCGTCCAGCCAGGATCCGCCAGAGCCAGCCAGCCAGGATCCGCCATTGAGTCTGGTGCTGTCCCTTAGCCCGGTGCTGCCCCTTATCCTGGTGCTGCCCCTTAGTCCGGTACTGCCCCTTAGTCCGGTGCCGCCCCTTAATCCAGTGGGGTTTAGTTGGGGGGTGGTCATGTGGAGGAGGCTACGGAAGCGGATAGTGACTAAGGTGGGGTGGGGACCACGACCAGGGCCAGAACCGCCACCGTGGACAGACGCCCACCCAGACCCTCCCCTAGACTGTATGCTGGTGCGCCCGGAGGTCGCACCTTTAGGGGGGGGTACTGTGACACTCTGGCTCCGGGACTTTTGTATTTGAGCCAGGGTGTATTTTGTTATGTTGGGTTTTGGGTATATTTCTAGGTTGCCTTTCTGTTGCCTTCATTTCTAGGTTTGATCTATGACTCCCAATCGGAGGTAACGAGTGTCAGCTGTCGGCTCGTTATCTCTGATTGGGAGCCATATTTATTCTGAATGTTTTCCTGTGGGAATTGTGGGTTTTTGTTCTTAGTTCTGTCAGTGTTGCAGAGGACTTCACGTATCGGTCTTGTTTTGTTGTTTTGTTCCAGACTTTGAATTAATAAAGTCATGTTTCTTGGACACGCTGCGCCTTGGTCATACTTGGACGACATAGACCCTCGTGACACTATTTAGTCTGCCAATAAGAATGCGGTGGTTGACAGAGTCGAAAGCCTTGGCCAGGTCAATAAAAACGGCTGCACAGTACTGTCTATTATCGATCGCGGTTATAATATCGTTTAGGACCTTGAGCGTGGCTGAAGTGCACCCATGACCAGCTCGGAAACCGGATTGCATAGCGGAGAAGGTACGGTGGGATTCGAAATGGTCGGTGATCTGTTTGTTGACTTGGCTTTCAAAAAACTTTTGAAAGGCAGGGCAGGATGGATATGGGTCTGTAACAGTTTGGATCTAGAGTGTCACCCCCTTTGAAGAGGGGGATGACCGCGGCAGCTTTCCAATCTCTGGGGATCTCAGACGTTACGAAAGAGAGGTTGAACAGGCTAGTAATAGGGGTTGCGACAATTTCGGCGGCTAGTTTTTAGAAAGAAAGGGTCCAGATTGTCTAGCCCAGATGATTTGTAGGGGTCCAGATTTTGCAGCTCTTTTAGAACATCAGCTGTCTGGATTTGTGTGAAGGAGAAGCGGGGGGGGCATGGGCAAGTTGCAGCGGAGGGTGCAGAGCTGGTGGCCGGGGTAGTGGTAGCCAGGTGGAAAGCATGGCCAGCCGTAGCAAAATGCTTGTTGAAATTCTCGATTATTGTAGATTTATCGGTGGTGATAGTGTTTCCTAGCCTCAGTGCAGTGGGCAGCTGGGAGGAAGTGCTCTTATTTTCCATGGACTTTACAGTGTCCCAAAACTTTTTGGAGTTAGTGCTACAGGATGCAATTTCTGTTTGAAAAAGTTAGCCTTTGCTTTCCTAACTGCTTGTGTATATTGGTTCCTAACTTCCCTGAAAAGTTGCATATCGCGGGGGCTATTTGATGCTAATGCAGTACGCCACAGGATGTTTTTGTGCTGGTCAAGGGCAGTCAAGTCTGAGGAGAACCAGGGGCTATATCTGTTTCTTAGTTCTGTATTTTTTGAATGGGGCATGTCTATTTAAGATTGAGAGGAAATTACTTTTAAAGAACAACCAGGCATCCTCTACTGACGGAATGAGATCTATATCCATCCAGGATACCTGGGCCAGGTCAATTAGGAAGGCCTGCTCGCTGAAGTGTTTTTGGGAGTGTTTGACAGTGATGAGGGGTGGTCGTTTGACCGCGGACCCGTTACGGACGCAGGCATAAGGCAGTGATCGCTGAGATCCTGGTTGAAGACAGCGGAGGTGTATTTAGAGGGTAAGTTAGTCAGGATGATATCTATGAGGGTACCCATGTTTACGGATTTAGGGTTGTACCTGGTAGGTTCGTTGATAATTTGTGTGAGATTGAGGGCATCTAGTTTAGATTGTAGGATGGCCGGGGTGTTAAGCATATCCCAATTTAGGTCACCAAGCAGTACGAACTCTGAGGATAGATGGGGGGCAATCAATTCACATATGGTGTCCAGGGCACAGCTGGGGGCTGAGGGGGGTCTGTAGCAAGCGGCAACAGTGAGAGATTTATTTCTGGAAAGGTGGATTTTAGAAGTAGAAGCTCAAACTGTTTGGGCACAGACCTGGATAGTATGATAGAGCTCTGCAGGCTATCTCTACAGTAGATTGCAACTCCACCCCCTTTGGCAGTTCTATCTAGACGGAAAATGTTATAGTTGGGGATGGAAATTTCAGAATTTTTGGTGGCCTTCCTAACCCAGGATTCAGACACTGCTAGAACATCAGGGTTGGTGGAGTGTGCTAACGCAGTGAATAACTCAAACTTAGGAAGGGAGGCTTCTGATATTTATGTGCAGAAAACCAAGACTTTTACGGTTACAGAAGTCAACAAATGATAGCTCCTGGGGAGTAGGAGTGATACTGGGGGCTGCAGGCCTGGGTTAGCCTCTACATCACCAGAGGAACAGAGGAGGACTAGAATAAGGATACGACTAAAGGTTTTAAGAACTGGTCTTCTAGTGCGTTGGGTACATAGAATAAAGGGGGCAGTTCTCCGGGCGTTGTAGAAAAGATTCAGGCCATTATGTACAGAAAAGGATATGGAAGGATATGAGTACAGTTCAGGTAACCCTAAGCGTTGGGTAACAATGAAAGAGATAGCGTCATTGGAGGCACCGATTGAGCCGGTCCTCGGCGTGTATGGGGGTGGAACAAAGGAACTATATGAGGCAGTTTGAGAGGGACTAGGGGTTCTACAGTGAAATTGTATAATAAGAACTAACCCAAACAGCAATAGGCAAGGCATAATTGACATGGGAGAGAGGCATAAAGCAGTCACAGGTGTTATTAGAGAGAGCTAAGACAACAACTGGAAATAGCGATAACGTTTGGGCTAAGACTAAACAGAATAAACAGGACAGGGTACCGTGTAAAGGAAACAGTCCAGCAGGCATCAGCTGTGGCAGCTGAGTGATCATAAGGTCCAGTGAACAGCAATATGTGAGTCCGAGAGCAGTTCAAATTGGTGCTTCAGCACAGCTAGCAGGGAGCACAGTTGTAGTTTGCGTGTGCTAGCGGGCCGGGGCTGGCAGATGGATCTTCGTGGTCGTCGCAACTGGAAGCCTGATGAAACCACATCAGACTATTTCGTCGGCAAACCAGTCGTGTTGGATCGGCGGGGCTCAGTGTCAACACTAGGAGGTCCCGTCCGGTTGACAGAGAGGTAGATAGCCGGGAGATGGGCCTGAGGCTAGCTCAAGGCTAACTGGTGCTTGCTATAGGGCAATGGTAAATCAGCCAACAACAGGTTGCAGCTAGCTAGCTGGTTGTGATGATCCGGCGCTAGGGTCCAGTGATTCCGGCAGAAAGTCCAATAAGCTCTGGGTCGATAGCACGCTGGGGTCGATAGCACGCTGTGCAGACAGGCCGACGAATTGTCCAGGCTAGAGCTGGCTGGTGGATAGTGTAGGCCACGGACAGTGGGGAAGACGCTAACGGTGACTAATAGCAGGTAGCCATTTAGTTGCGGCTACACTAGTATCAGCTTACGGTTCTTGATGAAAGTTATAAAGAAATAATAGAATCCTTTCCACGTTGGGTGAGGCGGGTTGCAGGAAAGTATATTTAGTTAAAGAATGAAAAGTAAAAATTGAGAGATATATACAAAATAGACAAAAAAAAACAAGAAACGGGATATTTACACAGGACGATGAAATAAAAGCGACCGCACTGCTACGCCATCTTGGATTTTAGAGTTATAACATTTTCCAATGTTATAACAATAAACAGAACATGTGTTGGAGAACAGCTAACACTAAATCAGGAACGCCATAGAGCAGACATCCCATTCTTCAAATATTCCATGCATCTGTGACAGAGGAGTACATTGAGGAATACCAAACCTCGGAGCAATTATTCAGGCCAGTGTAGAAATGACACAGTCTACTACTCTCACTGATCTGTATGGCAAAGCATGAATTCATGTTTTCATTCATTCATGTTTTCATTCATTTGTGGTTTTAATTCATTCATTTATTTGATTGTTCATGTGTTAATTAGTTTATATATTCATTCAATTATTCATTTATTTGTTTGTTCTTTCTTTCATTCATTCATATTTGTATTCATACTTTTTTTCATTGGTAATTTGTTAATTTGTTTCTATATTCATTTATTGATTAATTTGTTTGTTCATTAGTTCAATCATCTGTTCGTTCATTCTTTTGTTTGTTTGTCGGCCGTTCCGTCTGTACGTCCGTTCATTCATTCAATCATTTTTCTACTGTGAATGTAACACTGGCTTGAGCAAAAAGAGACAGTTTGTAGCTTTTAGAAAGCTTTGCTTATTCAGTGTTTTTTACTCCACTTGACAGGGAAATGAGCCTATGTGTATTTATCAATAAAGCACCAATATATTTCTATGTGTTTGATACATTCCATTCTAGACATTACTATAAGTCGTCCTCCCCTCACCAGCCTCCACTGGTGCTGTCAGTAAACTCAGTACCTGTCTCATCAGCATGTACCACTGTCACTAGACACACAGAGCTGAGATGGAGGGAGAGATGGAGGGAGATCGCCCTCCAGTGGCAGAATAACTCTGTTTTTCTCCTCTGTAGACAGCCTCCAGTCTGCATGAGAGTGTATGAATGTGTTTCTGTGCTATGATCCATAGAGGCCTCTCTCTCCCTCTTTTTCCTCACTGATCTCTTTCTTTTCTCTCTCTCTCTCTCTCTCTCTCTCTCTCTCTCTCTCTCTCTCTCTCTCTCTCTCTCTCTCTCTCTCTCTCTCTCTCTCTCTCTCTCTCTCTCTCTCTCTCTCTCTCTAGTCTCTTCTCCCCCTCTCCTCCAGAAAGACGAGCGTGGAGAGAGTGGTAAAGGGGACGGCAACAGATAGGTGACTAGAAGTATGGTAGGAAATCGGATAAATGATGGGGATGGGGGAGGTGCAGTGAGATTGGAAGGGGAGATACGTTAAGGTGGGCGGAAGGGGGGGACGGGGAGTGGGAAGGGGATGGGGGGGAGTTCCTAGGGTGATAGGAGATGAAAGACAGGGGGGGAGGTGGGGGGAAGGTCATGTGAGGTGTATAGAGAGTAGGATGAGAGTATAATGGGGAGGGAAGATAGAGGGGGTAGGTAAGGGGGGGGAAAGTTGTGGGGTTGAATTCGGGGACTGTGAAGGGGATGGGTGGGAGTTGAGTGAGGGGAATAAGGTGAGGTGGGGCGCAAACATGGGGGGAATTTGTGAAGGTTAAAGAGGGGATGAATGGGGTTAGAGGGGGGGTGGTAGGGAGAAAGAAAATAATGAATGGCGGGGAGCGGGGGTGATGCAAAAAGAGAAAAAAAGAGTAAAGGGGGTCTCTCTCACTCGAGTTCTCTCTCTCTCTCGTCGATCTCCTCATCTCTTCTCGTCGGCTCCTCTCTCTCTCGGTCTCACCTCTCTCTCTCTGCTCCTCTCTTCTCTCTCGTCTCTCTCTCTCACGGGTGGATGTAGGAACAGAGATGTGATTGGTAAGGAGGAATAGGGCGGGACTGTCAAAATTAACATTTGGTAGGAGGTTTGGAACAGAGAGAGATAAGAGAGAGAGAGAGATGCAGAAATAGGGAAGTACATAGTTGTACGAGTGCAAGGCATGAGAGAGAGAGAGAGGGAGGGGCAGAGAGAGAGAGAGAGAGAGAGAGAGTACATAAAGTACATGAAGTTTGAATTTAAGTTCCTATAAGTAGAGAGAGAGAGAGAGAGAGAGAGTTATAGACTTGGACACACAGCATTATATCAGGACCTATAGACACCTGGACCAACCTGGAGAGAACACAACATTAGATCAGGACCTATAGACACCTGGACCAACCTGGAGAAAACACAACAAGATGAGGATCCTGCTGATAGTCATCCTCCTCTCCTTCATGACAGGTAATAAGCTTGTTATAACTCTCTATAACAATGTAATAACATCCAGTTAGTCTTCTTATAAAGGCTGCTGCTACAGATAAGGAAACACTACTGTGTGTGGTGTGTGTGTGTGTGTGTGTGTGTGTGTTTGTGTGTGTGTGTGTGTTTCTGTGTGTGTGTGTGTGTGTTTGTGTGTGTGTGTGTGTGTGTGTTTGTGTGTGTGTGTGTGTGTGTGTGTGTGTGTGTGTGTGTGTGTGTGTGTGTGTGTGTGTGTGTGTGTGTGTGTGTGTGTGTGTGTGTGTGTGTGTGTGTGTGTGTTTCAGGATGCCACTTGCGTAGGAATTCTAACCATCAGTACATTAGTATTCCAAAACACTAAACCAAGAGGAATAAAACATATGTTCTCTTGTCTGATTGACAAGTTGTTTGAGCTCATTCAAAGTGACAGGATACTCTGGAGGAACTGTCATCATCTACTGTGAATATTCAAATAAGCATGAATATTCCATAGAAGAAAGAAGTTCTGAGAAATATTTCTGTATGGGGAAGTATAGTTGGAGTAGTTGTGAGGATAAAATCAAAACTGGATTGAAGAACACCTGGCAGCACAGTGGTAGATTATCTCTGTATGACAACACAGAAGGAAACGACTTCAAGGTGATCATCAGACAACTGACTAAACAAGATGAAGGGACCTACAGGTGTGGAGTGGACAAACCTAATGCACCTGACAGTTACACCAAGGTAGAGCTGGATGTGAAGAAGGGTGAGAGACTTTAACTTTAACTTTAGAAAATGAATTTAGCTAGATATGTTGTTGCATGATTAGTACCACTAGTCAAGGAAGTTATTCTAGTATTAGACTAAGGTTGTGATGTGTGTTCCTATTGACAGATGACTGCTGTGAGAAGTCAGTCACAGAGACGGTCTATCTGGGAGGAGAAGCTACCATCAGCTGCAACTATCCAGAGGACCATGAGGACAGCATCAAGTATTTCTGCAAGGAAGACAGGGACTGTAAATACAAGATATCAGCTCACTATGACCAAACAGGATTCTCAACTGCAAAAGCTGGGCGTTTCTCTCTGTCTGTAAACAGCAGAGTGAAATCCTACTCAGTGACCATCAGTGACCTGACTGAAGATGATACTGGGACCTACTGGTGTGGAGTAGAAACCAGCAGGACAGAAGGACCGTTACATTGCACTGATCACACAGGTGAAGCTACGAATTTTAAGTGAGTATAAACAAGACTTCTATTTCTTTAGCATGTGTACCCAAAACACACACGTTAAAGTCTTGTAAGAAAGTAATTTCATTGAAATCATAATTGCATTCATTGTTTTATGTCATTCACATGTTTGATGTATTTGATAACGTTCCATCTATTCCATTCCAGCCATTGTGGTTAGCCTGTCCTCCTATATCTCTGTCCACCAGCCTCCTCTGCTTCCCATGCTATACCCCTGCAGTAACTATGTACTGTATGACCACGTAAATAATATATAGCATTCTATTTTATCAGATATAACTACAATATGTTATGTCTGACAATTAAAATACTGTCATTTTAAAGTAGCAATCACATCTAGAACCTTCTGAAATATGCTGTTATTAATTGGCAACAACCAGTTTAGTGAAATGTAGCATTGAACTAAACATCTTATCAGTAGTAGTAGTTCAGTGGTTGACAGCAGTTAGTGTGTTAGTGGAGGCTGGGTGAGTCTGTGTGTTTGTAGTGGTGTGAAAAGCCACTGGACCAGAACACTGTAACTTCCTCTGTAATGTCTGTGTGTTTCTATATCGGTCTGAGTATCACTAAGCAGTCATGTGTTCAAGATATAAAACCCCAAGTTTCAGTATGGATGTCATCATGAAACCTGCAGTTGTCATGACCTATATTTGAGAGAGAGAGAGAGAGAGAGAGAGAGAGAGAGAGAGAGAGAGAGAGAGAGAGAGAGAGGAGAGAGAGAGAGAGAGAGAGAGAGAGAGAGAGAGAGAGAGAGAGAGAGAGAGAGAAGGAGTGATGAAAAAGAAGAGAGTGATGAGAGACAGAGAAAAGATAGAAAGAGAGAGCGATGTGGTGAGCTAAAGGAGAACTAAACACCTCAACAGGAACAAGAGTAACCCCCCTCCATATCTCTCTCTGTGCCTGTAACTCTCTCTCTCCCTCCATCTCTCTCTGTGCCTGTAACTCTCTCTCTACCTCCATATCTCTCTCTGTGCCTGTAACTCTCTCTCTCCCTCCATCTCTCTCTCTCTCTCCATGTGACTCTTCGCCTCCATCTCTCCCTCCATCTCTTCCTCTCCTCACCTAGCAAAAAAAAAATCCCACCTGTGTCAATCGCTTTCAGTGGCTCCACCCACCACCACCACAACAACAACAACAACAACAGCAACAACAACAACTACAGCACTTCCAGCCTCAGCCACAACCACCTTCATCTCACCGTCACCATCACCATCATCACCACCATCCACATCATCACTAAACAGATCTGGTAAATTACATTTTACAAATTCAAATGTCTGAGTCTCACTTTGGTAGACATGTCTGTATGTAGTGTTATGATATGAGGGTAGGTTAGTGGTAGACATGTCTGTATGTAGTGTTATGATATGAGGGTAGGTTAGTGGTAGACATGTCTGTATGTAGTGTTATGATATGAGGGTAGGTTAGTGGTAGACATGTCTGCATGTAGTGTTATGATATGAGGGTAGGTTAGTGGTAGTCATGTCTGTATGTTGTGTTATGATATGAGGGTAGGTTAGTGGTAGACATGTCTGTATGTAGTGTTATGATATGAGGGTAGGTTAGTGTAACAGGTTTGTCTAATCGGTTCCGTAACAGTGTGTGTGTGTGTTCCAGGTTCCTCAGTGGTCATCATGGTGTCTGTGAGTCTGGTAGTGTTGCTGCTGGTGATCAGCCTGATTATAGTCTACAGATGGAAATACAACAAGGCCACAGGTGAGAAACACACACAGACACACACACAGTTACGGAACCGATTAGACAAACCTACTGTTACAAAGAGAGGAAGTTCAAATAAATTTGCATAATAGGATAAATAGGGGAAGTGCCTCTCTGTCTCTGTCTCTCTCTGTCTCTCTCTGTCTCTCTGAGTAATATGTGTTGTGTTCCACAGGATCTGTCTCTTCAACACACACAGTGAGCCCAGACAAAGGGAACAACGAAGGGGTCAGTGTATTTTATTTGTTAGTTTTTGTGAATGAGTGATGTCATTGAGTGTGTTTGTGATGTCATACTATTCTCTCCTCCCTCCTCCTCAGGGTTGTCATGGTGACGGTGACTATGAGGAGATAAAGGAGCGCCCCCTACAGTCAGACTCAGACGCTGCGCCCACCACCATCTACGCCACCGCCAACTTACCCACAAGCCACTCTGACTCTCCCCACTACACCAGCGTCAACTTCCACCAGAACCCCAGCGGCCCCAACGAAGCCAGAGTCACCATCACTAAAGAGGGGACTTCATCATGTGACTATGCTACTGTGAACTTTGGTCAAAGCCCCGCCTACTCTACTGTCAATCATCCACACAGCTCCTCTGAGGCTCCTCCCATCTACTCCACAGTCAGCAAACCCAGACACACCTGAGTCACTGGTGTCCAATCACAAGAGACATACACACACTGGCAACCAATCAAAAGAGACATACACACACTGGCAAACCCAGGCCTTTTCTCAATTAGATATGCTCTACTTCTGTGTCCTCTCTCATCCGTCCTCTCTCCTCCGTCCTCTCTCGCCTCCTTTTGAAAAATGGCAAAGGAGCGGACAGGCAGCGAGGAGAGTGAACGTGGACGAACATGAGCTTGTACGAAATGAGAAGCTCCTTCTCCACTCGCCCATCAGGCAAATTACATTTCAAATGACCTTTTCCTGATAGGTGGATCCCCAAATTAATGTGTAAAGTGATAAAAACGAATGAAGCTAGTTGTGCAAGACATTTTATAGATAAAAGGATAAGTAGCATATCGTTTTTCAATGTGTGCATGTTTTCTCCTCCGACAATACAACAGCTGATTCAAAGAGGGTGTGGCAGATATCAAAACTTTTCCGTAGCAAGATACTCGTGTTTATTCGCCAAAAGGAGGAAGGGGGGACCACCTTCTGTTTGCCTACTAACAAATTGACACACTCCCCGGCCACTTATTGGTTAACGGGTCACAGAGGAGAGAGGATGGAGGAGAGAGGACAGAAGAGAGAGGACAAAGGAGAGAGGACAGAGGACTGACTTTTGCCCAATCGAAAAAAGGCCCCAGAGACACCTGAGTCACTGGCAACCAATCACAAGTGCCATGCACACACTGGCAACCAATCACATGGTCCATACACTCACTGGCGACCAATCACAAAGGCCATACACACTGTCTACCAATCAAAAGGGACATATGTTAACTATATGCACTGACCTCTCTTTTTAGCTAATGATTTTTTATTTCTTTGCTCATGCTCTCTCTCACTCTCGCTCTCCTCTCCTCTCCTTCTCCATCTCCTCCACACACCCAGAAAGTAGCAGGTCTTGTTTCCTACATCTTCAAATGGATTGCTGACAGGGAGAGGATATGAGGTTATGAGAAATACAAAGTACTCGATAACGGCAAAAAGCACACTCACCCAATAGATTATTATTATTGTTGTTACTATAATGATGATTATAATAATTATTAATAATATCATTTAGATGATTATGATGATCATTATTATAATATATAATGATGATGATTATTACCCTGTACTATTATAATGTGAAGGTTTTTTCTGACTTCTAAACTAAATAAAAAACATCTGACTTCTCTAGACCCTTCCTCCTGACAGCAAAGATAATTTATTATGGGCTGCACGTAGCCAGCAGTTAGGAACGTTGGGCCAGTAACTGCAAGGTAGCTGGTTCGAATCCCTGAGGTGAAATAAGGCATTAAACCTAATTGCTCCTGTAAGTCGCTCTGGCTAAATTACATACATGTATTATAATGACAAGATATTGGACTGTCTGTATGGAGGACTAAAAGTGCCACAATTAAATAAATAAATACACCATTAAATAATTACTTAAATGTGTCATTAATTAATTAAAATTAGAATTAAATACATAAATGTGTAATTAAATGTATCATTAATTAATTCAAATACCGATTCATTTTATGTAAAATACATATATAATTATTTCACTATTTACATTTACATTTCATGATCCTGCATTGCAGTGACTCATGAATTACTTAAAACTGTCAAACTGACCCATCAAAGTCAGTGGGCGGGGCTAACGCGAATCTAGTCTGATCCATTGCTTTGGTCTGAAGTAGAGTAGGCCAACCTGGATAGAAACAATGGAGGATCTCCGTGAACTTTCCAGGGAGTTGGTTAGAGACATTTTAAACTTAGCAGAGGATGTAGAAGCAGGACCTGCTGACCCAGAGCATGTAGCTAGTAAAGCAGAGGAACTTATTGAAGTTGTTGGAGTCATTTCCGCACTTTCCGACGAAGATATCGACCACAGAGTGATTGCAAATCTAGAAGAAGTTGTCCACCGCTTCTCTGGTACCAGGGCACTTCAGGCCCAACACACACAGGGACCGGGGCGTTTGGCGTTTGACATACCGAGTGCAGTTCTGGAGCATTAACTTCTTTGTGGAGTTCCCGCAGTTCAAATTTGCAGCGATGTTCGGTGTGTCAAAGAGGACCATCAGGAGGCGCATGCAACAATACAGTTTAAGGTATTTACACTAAATTCATGAGTTTTCTGTTTATGAATTGCTGCTCTCATACACTCGGAAAGAATATGACGTTTAAGGTAACATTACTTGATGTTGTGTTTTTCTTGTTTGTACAGAAAGACAGATCTCTATTCAGCTGTGAATGATGAGGAGTTAGACCGTATTGTAAGTGAAATTCACAGAAGTCATCCAAACACCGGCTACAAGCTAATGCGTGGTCACCTGAATGCAAGAGGTGTGCATGTTCCAAGTGAGTAGATAATAATATGGGCATTATTTAAATGTATTTTTAATTTGGAGCTCTGCCCCTTTGAAAGGTGAAGGAAGCCCGCTTATGGAAAGACATCAACCTGTGAGCTGTAGTTTCTACAGTGCATACTATGCAAAGCTGTATTATTTTAAAAAACTGAATAAGTAACATTTCATTTCTCACTGCCTTGGTGACCAAAAATAACAATCTTGTGTAAGGACATGTCAAACTAGTTTTAAGTACAAGACTGATTATGCTTGTCATCCATTCAGGTTCCTGAAGAATATGGGATCGATTGGAACGGACCTCACTGCCTTCATCGAGGCACTGTGTCAGTCCCCGAGGTTCAGCTGGCCCGTGAGCTCTCAGATGAAGAGGTTGCAATTTTGCCAGCTCCAGGAGTTTCTGTTACTGATGCACTTAGACTATATGTAGAGACTGTGGAAGTGTTATCAAGAATCTTAGACTGATGTCCAACCCATGTTTTTATTTGTTGTGTTAGAACAAGCAAGGAAAAACTGAAAGTTTACTTTCCTTTTAAAAGAAAGGAAAAAAAGCTGTTTCTTTGAAGCTTCCTGTCTCATTATGGTCCACAGAATGACTAACATGAATGCTGTACTGTTAGCACTGAAGGTGCAGAACAGTTTGATTTTAGTAAATGGAAGAAAAAAAAGTCAACTACTGCACAGTGTGTTAATGTTTTCAAAGACACTGAACTTGTGTCAATTCATCTGAACTGTGTATGCATTGACATTAGGGCTGGGCAATATGGAGAAAATCAAATATCACATTTTTGACCTAACACCTTGATGTCGATATTGCAACGATATTGTAAGGTTGACAATTGGTGCATTCACAAAATATCTTCCACATTTAGATTTCGGATAAATAACTATCATATTGTGGATATAATGACTAAGTGGTAAAAGGCAAATAATAGAACAGCTAGAACAGTCTGGTAAGTTCAGAAAATGACATCACTTTACTGTAATGCAGCCTTTGAAACCAGGAAAAGACTAAACTTACCATGTAACGATATTACACTTCTTCAAAATCTAATGGTGCTTTTCCATTACATGGTACCTACTCGCCTCGTCCTAAAATCTGCAATGGGAAACGGACGCACAGCGAGTCGAGGCGAGTCAAGTAGGTACTGGTAATGGAAAAGCACCTTAAGACGATATCTAGTCTTATATCACGATAGATATAATATTAAAATATTGCCCAGCCCTAATTGACGTCTGAAAAAACTTAAACAAGCCCAAATCCAGTACTTTTTATGGCAGCGACAAGTGCTTTCTCAAAGTCCATGTAGAGTTTGAAATGAGCTGGCAGCTTTAGGGTTTCAAAGCATGTGGAGGACGTAGGAAGGGTTCCCCCAGAAATCTCCACTCTCAGTTCAGGAGGAAGCATCTCCCAGCCAACCCAGAATGTCAGCAGCTGGGCCAGGGTACCTGATGAAGCTAAAAGTCATAAAATGGATTAAAGACATTTAGTTCAACTGTAATTGATCATATCTATCCATGAGACATAGAAGCATTTGTAAAGAGAGAAAATAAGGTTTATACCTGTTTCAATGAACATCCTTAGAAAGCCAGTGATGCGGCAGGTGGTGTCTAAGTCAAAGTCTTCATCATCACTGTCCTCAACTGGCCATGTGATTTTTTCTAGGAGCATCTTAAAGAAAACAAAAATTGTAATTTAAAAAAAGGGAGAACTTATTTTGGTGAAGGACTATGCAGATCAAAATCTTAGAAAATTGAAAAATATCCATCTCAGTCATTGAAAATACACGTAAATTCATCAAGTTAAGTCACAAATATAACTAAATTACTGACTTACCTGGGGTGTGAACTGCATTTCAGCCATTTTGGGGAAAAGAAGTGGTACAACATCCGGCCTAGATGTCAGCAGGGGCCATACCATCACATCTTTCAGTCCCTTTCTCAACTGTTTAATTTGGCGCATGGTCCTCCCAACGACCTAAGAGACAGACCGACCCATATTACAGCCCAAATCCTTAACCCAAATTTGACAAAAGTTGGCACAGTAGGAAAAATGTTAATAAACACAATAAAGTGCTTTATAAAAATCCATTAAAACTCTAGTACTTAAACTCTCGTGTTAACATAACAAGCCAGGGTTCACAACACATTCTATAATTTCAACAAGTACAAGCGATGAATTCTGTCACTTAACCAGCAGGAACTCACTGCATGGAGTAGAAGTTTGTTATGTAGCCATCTCCGATTTGTTTTGGTGACTGCCGGAAGATCCCAAGACATGGAAAGATCTGAAACTGTGTCCTTCTGTTCCGGTGTAAGATCTTCATGTTCAAGCTAGAATTAAGACCATACAAGTTATTATATCTGCCCAAGCAATATTTTTTACATGGCAAAGTTTCTTTTAGGTTACATACCAGTTCTATGATGCTCCTGATGTGCAGATCAGGGCAGTCTTCTGTAACAACGGTAGCCATTTCAGGGTCCCCATTGAACAGTACATGAATTACAGCAGGACTTAGTCCTGTGACATGGGGACCATCATGCAGAAAGGTGTGGCCCAACATCCTTCCTGCAACCCGGAAGAGGTTGCTTTCAATAAGTGCCTCTGATGCTGCTGGAACAAGATGGTCAGGTTCACCCTCAAATAGCAGTGTTTGGCCCATTCCTCCTGTAAAGTACCAAGAGAGCAGGGAATAAAGTCACAACAATTAACCTCTTAAATACATTAAATAAAAATGTATGATAGATAGATAGATAGATAGATTACATCATACTAGTGGCGATTACTTGGCCTGTGGTATTGCTGCTTGTAGAATTCACTTAAACCAAATTGTAGCCTACTCCAAAATGACTTACAGAAGGACCCCAAACCACTTCAAATTCAATTCCCCTGTATACCCTACTACAGACTTACCTGACACAAAACATTGCCCACCGGCCCTCCGCTAAACAGCACATATCCGCGTTCATCAACCACCAGAACGTACGTGTACGCGTGTGTGTGTGTGCGCGCGCATAGAGAGAGGCGGTGTAGAGTGAGTCACGACACAAACAGGTGCTCAGTCAGCGTTGCATGCAGTGTGAGAATGGCAAGCAGCAAGAGCGGCAAAAGCCAATGTGTGCTTCTTTTACCTATATATGTAACGCTATCTTTTGCGTTTATCCAAACGTCGTCAAACTTGGCACTGCACTTACTCGTGACCAGAGCAAGACACCTGTCAAGTTTGAAATCCATCAGACTAACTGAGAGACATGCGCTACAGACAGACATTTCTGCAATTTATAGATGGATTAACCTTCAAAAAATTAGTAAGATACTTACCAAGATCTAGACTGAATCCAAACTGGAGTTTGGATATGATTGTTGTCATAAAGTACCGCATCACTCCCTCTCCGATAGCAACATCACCTGAAATAAAATACTGATAATAACACTGGAAAAAAAGTGGCGGCCTAATACAGGTAACTGGATTTGGTAACATTTAACAAGAAAGGGAGAAAAACTTCTATTGGCTGTAATTCTAGAATAGCATCCTTAATATTGATTATTCCAGATAACAAGAGTATATTGTGCACAATATTCACATACATACATATAACATTTTTATCAATTATATAATTTTGTGCATTCCATTCTCCCATTTAACAATTACATATAAGCTACTTGAGTGGTATAAACTGTACTGATGTATTTATATTATAAATGTTATATTACTTACCAACCAGAGTACAATGAAGTGGACATGCCCATTCTTGCTGCTGTTTATAGAATAAGAGAAGCTCCCGTTCCCTGTCCTCTTCAGAGTCCCTTACATCCATCTTCATTCTAAGTGGTTTCCCAGTTGCATGTTCCCTTAGCAGATTCTCTTTGAAAACTTTGGCAGCTTGAGTGGGTTCTTTAATAAGCTTCCATTCTAAACAAACAACAACAATAAAGTTATCTATTACAGAGAGACATATTGTGAGTTGGCATGTTACCTGCATATACAGATATCCTCTCACTCTACAGAACAGGAGGAAAATTCTGTTCATTTCACTGACAAAACGTGAGACCCAACATCTTCAGAACCTGTCACAACGCTGAGTTGACATAAAAACAGCACTACTAAACAACTACAAACTAAATATTAGAAAAATAGAAAAACCCAGTTGCATGTTATTAATTGTCTGTAACTGTATTATCTTATCTAATTATATCCTACAGGTGTTTATCTTTCTATTAACTTTTCAGTTACACACAATCTTATAGCAACACTATTGTGATGACACAAACCACTGTCTGTTTCTTTGCGATCCAACTCCTCGTTGACAATCACTGCCGGTACTACTGCACTCTCAGCTGATGTTTCAGGCCTCACTGGAACACTGTCACTGACTAGGGCTGTCTCACTATCATTTTTCTTCACTTTGGCCTCCCTCTTGTTCTCTTTCTGATTCCTGCATGGGTGTCCTTGAAGTTAACACAATTGAAATGATGGTCATACTCGCTTATTTGTGTGCACAACAATAAGAGAGACATATTCCCAAAGAAAATAAATTATGCTACCCTTGCATTGCTTTAAGAAGTACATACCCATTGCAGCTCAATCTGTGCAGCTTCATCTCTGAAAAGGGAACTTCCTTCTGACAAGTGATGCAGGGGATGACTGGACCAGAGGCAGGACGTGAGCTCTCCTAACAACAACAACAAATGGCTTTTAATTAATGATTAAAAGTCACCAGTAATCTTTGTTTTGATTATGTATTAAACTAAGTCTCTGTAAATGTATGTACACAATCTAAGGGTAGATCCTGTTGAAGTGGACGTATGTTGATTGTAGCCTGTCCAATCATCGTCGATGGATCTTTCAGATAGGCAAGGGTGTATCCAGTGCTGGGACACTGAAGCAACGCAAGATTTCGACTGCGAGTAGATCCTACAAGTTTTAGAAATTCAAAGCCTCCCCCTTGTTGGAGCTTCGGAAACACTTCCATCAGTTTATTTGTTATAACCATGGGATTGTGGTCATTCCCTGGAGAAAAAAACAAAACAAAATCATAACTCACCTCACCTTAAATTAAGCAAATAAGCCTGTGATAACTATTATTGACACTATGAACACCAATTAAGTTTGAGTCACTATAAAAAGAAATGCAAATAATTTCAACAAGCCACAGACAGTACAAACTTTTTTTTACTTTTGGTAAATGCCTAGTTTGGCACTGACCTGAAAATGTTACTTTTTGCTCTCCAAGTCCTGAAGTAAGAAGTTCAGCTTTAAACAGTACGCTTGGAGTTTTATCCGCATTGTGGTCAGCCAAACAACAGACAGTGTGTGTGTAGCTTCTTCGGCTAACTTGGACTTGTGCTGGTCGTCTCGTCATATTCCTTCTGGCTCCAATGTTATATGGCGCAAAGAGCCTTGCTACCTCCGCTGCAACACAGAAAAACGTAACAGCTCAATGGTCACCAGTCAGCTAAAACAGCCTCTACTTCTATCTTGGGATGCTCAAGCCAGCTAACACCATTTAGCCGATTAGCGAACTAGCTAGGTTTATGCTTCCCCCCCCCCATTAACAATAAACGTGTCACGCACGAAGCATCATAATACCGCATGCAAATACATGTTCGAGTCGATCTAATTTAACCTACACGTGTGTCCCGAATCATTAAATAGTAGCACACCTGGCTAACATGAAATTACTTAGCTTACCTTGGACAGGTGTACGTGATTGAGCGGCCGGTATCTGCTATGACTGAGCTGCCGGAGTCACCGGTGCCGCGGGAGCCGTTGGACTTCTGCTCAGAGCTTCCTCAATCAAATTCGCTGCTTCTCTCAGCAGCTCCGGGCAACTTTTAGACATTTTGTCCTGCACCTCACACAGCGTCTCAACATTGGGGCTAGCAGGACCGAGTCTTCTTGATTTTTAGCCGTTGCAATGAAAGTACTGTTTAACCGTGTAACTAAACCAACGTAGAGGTGAATAGCGCCACCCAGTGTATTGGAATGTGTTCAGTAGCTCTGCATCAATCCATTATCCGGAATTGATTTGTCTTGGCTTGATGCAAAGGGTAACCAATCAGGCGTTAGGTTCCGCCTACCAACTTTTGATGGGTCAGTTTGACAGTTTTAAGTAATTCATGAATCACTCCAACGCAGGACCATGAAATGTAAATGTAAATAGTGAAATAATTATATATGTATTTTACATAAAATGAATCGGTATTTGAATTAATTAATGATACATTTAATTACACATTTATGTATTTAATTCTAATTTTAATTAATTAATGACACATTTAAGTAATTATTTAATGGTGTATTTATTTATTTAATTGTGGCACTTTTAGTCCTCCATATGTCTGCTCTAACAATGAGCACAAAAACACTTGTGTGACAAGGTCTGAAGAGTGTACGTGTAAACACAGACGCATTCTCCTTCTCTCTCTAGATTCTCCTCCCTCAGATTACTCTCCATGTGCAGGACAGTCAGAGTACTGGTAAGTTTCATGTCTACTGATTTCAGCGGTGGCTAAAATAAAATGGTGTTCTATTATTTGGTAGCAGGGGCTGTGTTGTCATGGTGATGGTGTTACGAACCCCGTGGCTTTAAACATCTAGGGTGGATGGACAAGAGACCCGTAACATAATTCATGCAAATTAGAATCGTGACATGGAACAGTGAGAACAACAACTACACGACAACCATAAACTACCGTCAAAGATAAAATGTTTATTTTTGAACACAGTAAAGGTTTGGGAAAAAGGGCTGAGCAGGACCCAAGAAATGAAACAAGTGTAAAAAAAAAACTAAACTGATCTTGCCTGCCTCAAGAACCGCTAAGCTACTGCTAATCATACAAAAATACAGTGGGTGGTCCGCTCAGGTCTAACTAGTGTTTTTAGACAGTTTTCTTCCTACGGGTAATGTATGCCCAAGGGCAACTTGCTTAAATTCCCCTTTTCCCAGAAACACACAACAAAGTTACCAAACAGAGTAACCAGCAAATGAGTGAGTACACAAAACACCACAGTATCCATACTCACATACGGAAAATAGTCTCTAACAAAGTTACCAAACAGAGTAACCAGCAAATGAGTGCGTACACAGGACACCACAGTATCCATACTCACATACGGAAATAGTCTCTCACAAAGTTACCAAACAGAGTAACCAGCAAATGAGTGAGTGCACAAAACACCACAGTATCCATACTCACATACGGAAAATAGTCTCTCACAACAAACACAACTGACTGGCTTTTAAACAATGGGATGTGTGATTGAAAAACCAGAAACAGGTGGTGCAATGCAGAGGAATGTCCACTGATTGGTCCACCTCAGCAATCAGCAGACACCCCAACGACCACCGATCAGGAACATACAGGACACATGTGATTAGGGCAGAAGGAGAGGAAAAACACAAAAAGACACAGGATACCTGTATCCGTAACAGATGGTGTATATGTTAGTCTCTCAGAGGCCTAGAGGAAGTGATGCAACACTTTAGGTTTTGTGGAGAGCTGCTGCTGACGCCATGGCCTCTGTTGCTAAGGTTACTATGATCACTATCTTACTCAGAGTCTCTTCATTTATCAGACCTTTATGTTCTGTCTGTCTGTCTGTCTGTCTAACTGTCTGTCTAACTGTCTGTGTGTCTGTCTTCCTGGCTGCCTGTCTGTCTGTCCGTTTCTTTGTCTGTCTGTCTCTTTGTCTGTCTGTTTGTCTGTCAGTCTGTCTGTCTTACTAAACAGCTGACCAACCTACCTTACTTTATTGAGTGATCTATCCACCAATCGACCTAATGACAGTTGCAGCTATCCATCTATGATATGTATAGTGTGGAAAGCATAGGGTTTGCAAAAATCTGGTAATTTCTGGAAAAACTGGGAATTTTGAGTCTTTCCTCCTGTCTGTGGTCAGGTCTGATGGTATCTATGATACATACAGTACTCTGTAAAGTCTCTCCTCCTGTCTGTGGTCAGGTCTGATGATGTGGACCAGTATTGGTCTGGTAGTCATGGTGACAGTGTTAGGACTGGTCCTGCTCCTGTTCTACAGACAGAGGAGAGGAACCAGGAGAACACCACCACCACCACCAGTCTCCTCCAACACACAACCTGACCCTACTGGAGAGGTGAGAGATACAAGGGTGTGTGTGTGTGTGTGTGTGTGTGTGTGTGTGTGTGTGTTTGTCCATAACAACTTGTAATGCAGAGGTGATAGACAGGGAGGTTGACTGTGTGTGATGGTAAACTAAACATCTAAGGATTGACTGTGTGAGTCTACAGCATCCTCTAATGGGTTTCTACTGTAGTCTGTTATCATTCCTCAATCTGTCAACATGAAGAACCTGCTGCAAACAACACTTGTTCATTAGACAGCTCAGCTTCAACAGATAATGGATTCTCAGACTCATAGGCTGCGTTAACACAGGCAGCACAATTCTGATCTTAAAAAATGGGGTTTTGACCAATCAGATTAGATATGTTGCCAATAATTGGTGTCTGTGTAGATGCAGACATATTAACAATGTAGTTCTTCATTGACATTGTTTGGTTTGCACCTTGACTCACGTTGGTTGAGGGCCCTCCACTTCTTTTCATATCTGACCATGTAGTTGTTGTCATTGGTTCTCTATGCAGGTTGACTGTGTGTATGAGGAGATCAGAGAGGCAGACAGACAGACAGACAGACACACTCCCTGTGGTCATCCCTTCAGTCTACTCTGCTGTCAACTCACCTACCAACTCTACAACCTACCCTGCTGGAAAAGACTCTACAACCTACCCTGCTGGCCAAGACTCTACAAACCACCCTGCTGGCCAAGCCTCTACAACCTACCCTGCTGGCCAAGCCTCTACAACCTACCCTGCTGGCCAAGTCTCTACAACCTACCCTGCTGGCCAAGCCTCTACAACCTACTCTGCTGGCCGAGCCACAGGTAGTCCACACTGTGACATCTATGCTAACGCTAGCTGCCGCAAATATTATATAAATCCAAGCTATTCTACTGCAGATCATCCAGCTTCTCTCATCTACTCTAATGTGGATCTACCCAAAGATTCTAGAGTCTCTTTAAGCCCTCCAACAGCCAGTGGAACCCAGGATGATTCCATCTATTCTACAGCCCAGCTACCCAAAGATACTGTAGAATCTACAAGATACCCTGCTGTACACCTCTCTAAAGACAGCCCAGAAGATGCCCTCTATTCTACAGCCCAGCTACCCAAAATAATGGAGGACTATAGAATCCATTCATTGGTTGCACGTTGCGTTACAATTATTTTATGAACGTTCTATTGAAGACTGATGCCCGACGAACATTCTACTCAATGCATTCTAAATTGGCGCTGATGTAGATTTTGTCTACCAACCCAACACAACAACCCAAGACTCCACCTACTAAACCCTCAACACAACAACCCAAGACTCCACCTACTAAACCCTCAATACAACAACCCAAGACTCCACCTACCAAACCAAAGCCGGAAGTGGAGTTCCTGGGCTGGCGTGGTTACAATTGCTCTGTGGTTGTGAGGCCGGTTTGATGTACTGCTAAATTCTCTAAAACGACGTTGGAGGCGGCTTATTGTAGAGAAATTAACATTGCATTCTATGGCAACAACTCTGTTGGACATTCCTGCAGTCAGCATGCCAATTGCATGCTCCCTCAAAACTTGAGACATCTGTGGCATTGTGTTGGGTGACAAAACTGCACATTTTAGAGTGGCCTTTTATTGTCCCCAGCAAAAGTTGCACCTGTGCAATGATCATGATGTTTAATGAGCTTCTGGATATGCCACACCTGTCAGGAAGATGGATTATCTTGGCAAAGGAGAAATGCTCACTAACAGTTATATAAACAAATTTGTGCACAACATTTTTGCGAAATAAGCTCTTGTACATATGGACTATTTCTGGGATCTTTTATTTCAGCTCATGAAAAATGTGACCAACACTTTACATGTTGCGTTTATATTATTTGTTCAATATATACAGTGGGGAAAAAATGTATTTAGTCAGTCACCAATTGTGCAAGTTTCCCATTAAAAGAGAAGCAGCCTGTAATTTCATAAAAGATGTAGAAGGCCTGATTCAATT